ACAAAATTTTTATAATAATACTTTATTAATTATATAACAGCTATATATTATTATATAATAGAAGATAGATATAATATAAATAATATTTATTTAAAATATTTTAGCCAGACAAAAAAATTGGAGTTGCAATTGGTGATCAAATTTTGAATTTAAATGCTATCGCAAATTATTTCGATGGACCATTGTTGGAAAGTAAGCAAGATGTGTTTCGTCGTGATTGTTTAAACGATTTTATGTCTCTCGGAAGGCCAGCATGGCTAGAAGCAAGATCTAAACTTCAAGAGCTGCTGTCTGCCAGTAATCATACTTTTCAAGATCCTAAAATCCGCTCTAAGTGAGAAATCAACAAACGAAATTTAATATAAAAAATTGAGATTTTTTAAAATCGTATTATAATCTCTGCGTAACATCTTTTTAGAATTTTTGTCGCCCAGAAAGATGCTATAATGCATTTACCAGCCAAAATCGGAGATTACACGGATTTTTATTCTTCTCTTAATCATGCTACAAATGTCGGTATTATGTTTCGTGGGAAAGAAAATCCACTGATGCCAAATTGGTAATTTTCTTATTGATATTACTTTTATGCTTGTATTTTAAAAATTACTTGTATTGTAGGATAAAACATTTATGTATATAGGAAATATTTACCAGTGGGCTATCACGGAAGAGCAAGTTCCATTGTTGTGTCAGGCACACCCATAAGACGACCGTATGGTCAAACACTTCCGGTTGAAGGTGCAGCACCTGTTTTTGGGCCCTGCAGATTAATGGATTTCGAGCTCGAAGTTGCTTTCTTTGTCGGTCCATCTACAAACCTGGGTGATACTGTTCCAGCTTCTAAAGCGTATGAACATATTTTTGGAATGGTCTTGATGAATGATTGGAGCGGTACGAGATATATATAATTAAAAGAACTTTAATTAATTTAAATTGTTATTATGATTTTTTATTTTTCTTTCTGTTTTGCATAGCAAGGGACATTCAGAAATGGGAGTATGTGCCATTGGGACCATTTGGTTCAAAGAATTTGGGCACGACAATTTCTCCATGGATCGTTACGATGGAAGCTCTAGACGCTTTCAAAGTACCAAATATGGCCCAAGATCCAGAACCGTTTCCGTATTTGCAACATAAAGAGTCTTGTAACTTCGATATCAAATTGGAAGTTGATCTTAAACGTAAG